GATGTATTTTAATTGAAACTGAATGATTTTGAGGAAACTTAAGTTATTTTTATGTTCTGCCTTGATGATGAAATACTGATTGTGTTTTGTTATTAATCGTCTTATTAAATTAGTAATTTTCATGTTCTTTTTCTCAGTATGTTATATTTAACCTTTGTTTGATTGTTGGTTTTTCGAAAGATAAATTCGGACAAACACTTTGTTATCATTTAGGCCTCAATCTGAATTGGGGGATTTTTTTAAATTCACTGTTGAAAAAAGTTTTTATTTATTTTCATAGATTGACGAACTGCATTGGTTGTAGTTGGAATGTGCTTGAGCATGATCAGATTACTTCGAGAGATCAACAACATGAGTCTTATTCTAATAGATATAAAAGTCAAGTTTTCAGAATATATAAAAGTATATTTAAGTTTATAAGTGATGAGGTAATTGGCGAAGTGGGTATTGTTGACCGTGTTTACCAAAAATAGTATTTTGTTGCATAGGTTTTACTGCTCTTTTAGTGTGTAAGAAAAGCTATATGTGATAGCTGAATTACTCACTTTACCAAGAAAAGGAAAAAGAAAAAAGAGAACTAATTATCACCTAAAACTATTAATTTCATTGATGGGAACTTCAGTAAGACAATCGGGATCAATTTTAGTGAATATTTTAGTTCTGTTTGTGATTCTTAGGTTCACTATTGTTACGTTCAGTGTGGGCCAGTGATGACAAGAACTTACCCCGACGACTCTTGGGGAAGTAGTAAGAGCTCAATCTTCTCCAAACATAGCAAGCTACGTGACTTTTATCATTTGCAACTAACAGTGCACGCAAAATTGATATAACTAGAGGGCACCATGCGTCTTGATGAGCCAATTGGTAATAAATGCTACACCCAAAGTAAAATGGGTGTTTCGAGCCTCACTAATTGGTACGTAGTTTAATGTGATGTTATGATGCTCGTATAACGAGCGGAAGAAAGACATGAAAAGCTTGAGGGAAAATGGTTTTTATGTTGAATTACATTAGATCCAACACAATTTTGCTGTTTAAGTGTAATCATTGTTTGGTCAGTGGTGGGGTTTGAGTTTTTGATTCATAATTTGTATTACTCGAAATGTGAACTGATTTGAGGTTAACCATTGTCTTTCAAGTCCATGTCTACTCAGACCATCACACACCATAATTATTTGTTGTCAGCTATAATCCTTCCTCAAAAATAATATTGTAAGTCATAACTCAGTCTTCATTCTCTCTTATAGGCTGAGTTGATATAGTTGTGGTAGAACTGGTAGTAATTTAAACAGAATTTTGTCAGCTGGAAATTATATTTCTTTTTGTTGCTGTTAAAAAAAGGAAAATACAGGGTGTTTCATGGGAGTATGTGCAATAAAAAATTTTCAGTATGAATGAATATGGGATAAATTGTATGGAAACTTCGAAATGATACACCAAATTTTATCCTATTTTTATTTAGTATAGTATAGATGTACATATTAATGTTCTTTTTCTTTTTATGTTTAGTTGTTTAATTGGTTGGTACATTTGATTTCTCTTTGTACAGCTGTTGAGTATCTTTAGAATTAGATTCAGAACAAGACTGAACTGCTATGTTTGATGGAATAAGTTAAAAAAATTTACCTTGTTCTGTTGAAGTTTAAAATTTGTTGAGGACCCATTACATATCATTTTGCTACATCAGTTTGATTTATTTATATTTATTTTTTTTTTAAATTTAAGAATATGACTATAAAGCAACCACCACATAACTTATACAATAAATAAAAATTCAGACTATAAACAACCACCACATCCTCTTAGGACAGCAGGCAACATCAGATCATTAAGCACCAGCAAAATGGCAAGCAAACAGCAGACAACAAGCTTCAGCAAGAAGGTAAACACAAGCAGCAGCAGCAGTAGCCAGTAGCACAGAACCAATTTTGGAGAAGCTATGAGTATGGAAGGTGTCACTGCCATATTTTAGTGTTTCTTTTATTGAAGAATATGTGTTTCTACCACACCGACTCTGGTTAAATGATAAATTTGATTTTGTTTGGAAGCAGGTTAGTTGAAAAAGACACACAGCTGAACAGTGAGAAAATGGCCAGAAAGAAACTGAAGTCCAGAAACTTTATGGAAGAAAATGTGAGGTTGACCACTCTACTTGACAAAAAAGAGGCCCAGCTCTTGGCCATGAACGAACAATGCAAGGTGATGGCCTTGAGCGCTTTGAATATTTAGTTTGGTAGTAGGGTCTTGATTGCATGTTGCCTTAATGTGTTTTCTGCTCGGCCCACTTGCTGACCTTCATTGGGAGTCGGCAAATAATATTGGGCAAAAAAATCTGCTTTCTTGAATGTACCATTGATTTCCAACTTAACCTTCACATGTATCAATCAACTGAGTTGTTCTTAATTTGTTAGAATCTCACACTAATAAATTAATATAACCAATATTTGTTTACACACATAAATGTTATGTCCAGGTTCCAGTGGATCTTGTCATTGACAATTCTGTTCAGGTTGATGTGGCAGGAAGTGAATGCAATGCAGGCAAATATGGGGCTTGAATTTCAGAGAAACAAGGAGAGGTTTGTTTTTCTGAAGTGGGGTTCCAATGTTTTTCACAATATGCTCATTGTTCCTCCTGGTTCTGGTATTGTCCACCAGGTAAGACTTTGGCATCATTAGTGCATCAAGGGTATTTCTATATCTAGATGTTATACTGTTGTTAAAGGAAAATTCTCATGGCAAGGTGCAAGAATTTGACCTTAAGGTGGTATGAATGGTTTACTCTTAAAAGGGCCAAAACATTAGATAGGTATAGGCTCAATACATGAGGTTTGCAATGTTTAACTATTTATGGGGCTTCCAGAGTAAAGCCACATTTACCTCTAGCCTCTTGTAAATCATAGTCCAAATTTTCTCATTTTTTTAGCACTATAATATTATTTGGTAGGTTTGGCATTTAGCAAGTGACTCTGGTAATTTTCAAGTTAATCTTGAATACCTTGGATGGGTTATTTTCTACAAAAATGGCATTCTGTACCCTGATAGCGTGGTTGGAATTGATTCCCATACAAATATGATTGCTGGCTTAGGAGTTGTTGGCTGGGGAGTTGGAGGAATTGAATCTGAGGCTACAATGCTTCGCTAGGTATTTTGAGATAATAATGTATTTTCTTTATGATTTTCTATACGCTTGTGCCAATTGTTAGTGTTTGCAGTTATTCTTTGGTAGATAGACATGCATGAAATGGGTAGCTGTTTTTTCTTCTTTTTCCTCCAAAGGTGCAAAAGAAAATGCAGCTTCTGCTTCTTTAAAACCTGCTGCTGGTGCTGGTGATAGTAACTGCAATGTATCTCCCCCCCCCAAAAAAAAAGAGTAAATTCTTGAGTTTTTATTTATTTATTTATGGGTACCTAGAATTATGGTTCAACAGTAATAATAATATATATTCACAAAAAGATCATACACAAGCTGTATTGAAATTTATCATTTTTAAATATTGTGCTCATTAGTGACCTTCTAATTACAATGCCATTGACACTGAGCTGCTGTGGCATCTAATTGTTAACAGGGAAGGTACTTCCAAAAGAATTAAGATCAATCAAAAATAATTAATGTTTCTATTTTGGTTTGCTGAATTAACTTTTTAGTTTATTCATATGCATCAGCGGTTTCTGGATTAATTTGTGTTTTTATTTTTCAGGTCAGAATTTTTTTGGAGAGATGCAAAATATGGTCCAAGAATTAAAGAACTTAGTTTTTTTAAGTTTTTTCATTTTTTAATATATGTAAGCACAGTTAATTTTTTATTATTTAATTCCTTTGTATATACTTTTGAATATTTAATTTTCATTTATGAAATATATGACGTTATTCTATTCAATATGTGGTTATGATTCAAAATATAGTATATAGTGTGTATTACATTATTCAAATGTGCATACAAAAATAATATTGATTATTTTTCAAATATGTAGCACATTTTTTTTATCACAGATTTTATTAGTTATTAATCACACTTAAAAGATGTGATCTAAATGTTATTAATCACACTTAAAAAGTGTGATTAAAAATGATCATTTTTAATCACACTTCCAAAGATCACACTTAAAAGGTGTGATCTAAAGTTTTTAATCACACTTAAAAGGTGTGATCTAAATGTTTTTAATCACACTTAAAAGGTGTGATCTAAATGTTTTTAATCACACTTAAAAGGTGTGATCTAAATGTTTTTAATCACACTTAAAAGGTGTGATCTAAATGTTTTTAATCACACTTAAAAGGTGTGATCTAAATGTTTTTAATCACACTTAAAAGGTGTGATCTAAATGTTTTTAATCACACTTAAAAGGTGTGATCTAAATATTATTAATCACACTTAAAAAGTGTGATGAAAGCATTTTTTAATGACACTTAAAAAGTGTGATTAAAAATGACCATTTTTAATCACACTCCTAAAGACCACACTTTAATAAAACTTAAAAGGTGTGATTAAAAAAACATACATCACACTCAAAAAGTGTGATCTTTATCTATATTTGTAGTAGTGGTATGACTTTGGAACCATTTTGTTCTGTCAATAGTGAATATTAACTTTCTGTTATCTATAAGCAAACTACGTCGTTTCTTAATAAATAAATAGAGCTTATGTTCATCCGAAAATGATGGTGTCTGTGCGAATCTAAGATTATTCGGTTGTGTTATACATGAATCTGAGGTCGTTCAGAATCTATGATATAAACACAAAATTCTGCCATCATTATATGACCCACGTTATGATATGAACTATTCTGACTCTATTGACCCTATTGTAATGATACATGCGTCTCCCGTTAATAAGTATTATTGATACTCTACACCGGCAGATTCATAACGAATAATGGAATGTGTGTACATTATGAAACTACGGTATCTATTTGTTAATGGTCATCATCAACACTCTGTTAAATGCAAACTAGTTATGCTAACTCAACTCATGTGAATGATTAAAGCAATCTATATGCCTTCGTATCACTCTGAGGCTAATGATATATGTATTTTCTGTCAGTAAGTATTGTTAATGTTCTGCTATACGTAAGCCGGTTAGATCAACCTGCAATAACCCATGGAGTTATTCTGTTCTGTTTAATCGTTACATTTCTGTTATGACATGATATGCATTGTTCGGTCTTTAAGACCTATTGATTCCTGGTATGGAACAAAGTGCTGTACGGAACTAAGTACTGCACTGCGAGCCACCTCTAGAATCCGTATGAGCCACCTCTTGAGTCCATACATATGTGAAAATTATGAGGGCTATGGCCGTTCTGTGAAAGTTATGAGGCCGATGACCGTTCTGTGAAAGTTATGAGGCTTATAGCCGTTTTGTAATATCTATGAGGCCTATGGCCAATCTGTGACATCTGGGCCTATGGCCATTCTGTATGATCTGTTAGTATGAAACAAAGTGCTGTGCGGAACTAAGTGTTGCAGTGCAAGTCACCTCTAGAATCCGTACGAGACACCTCTTGAGTTCATACATTCTGATAAGGGCTGTATGCCATTTTGATAAGGGCTTAATGCCATTCTGATAAGGGCTGTATGCCGTTCTGATAAGGGCTTAATGCCATTTTGATAAGGGCTATATGCCATTCTGATAAGGGCTGTATGCCATTTTGATAAGGGCTTAATGCCATTCTGATAAGGGCTGTATGTTGTTCTGATAAGGGCTAAATGCCATTTTGATAAGGGTTTAATGTCGTTCTGATAAGGGTAGTATGCCGTTCTGATAAGGGATTAATGCCATTCTGATAAGGGTTGAATGTCATTCTGTCCAAGGGCTTGAAACCACTCTGTTTAAAGTTTAGGCCTAAGGCCATTCTAGAAATAATTACAAGATAAAGTTAACTATATGTTCTCTGGCCATTCTGTATGATCTGTTAGTATGAAACAAAGTGCTGTACGAAACTAAGTGCTGCAGTGCGAGTCACCTCTAGAATTCGTATGAGACACCTCTTGAGTTCATACATTCTGATAAGGGCTTAATGCCATTCTGATAAGGGCTGTATGCCGTTCTGATAAGGGCTTAATGCCATTTTGATAAGGGCTAAATGCCATTCTGATAAGGGCTGTATGCTGTTCTGATAAGGGCTTAATGCCATTTTGATAAGGGCTTAATGTCGTTCTGATAAGGGCTGTATGCCGTTTTGATAAGGGATTAATGTCATTCTGATAAGGGTTAAATGTCATTCTGTCCAAAGGCTTGAAGCCACTCTGTTTAAAGTTTAGGCCTAAGGCCATTCTAGAAATAATTACAAGATAAAGTTAACTATATGTTCTCTACACTTATATATGTACACTGTAATGCAAGTTAATCATTAAATTGTTTACGTACTATTATTCACTGAGCCTTGCTCACTCCGTTTTTGTGTATATTTATGTAGGTGAGCCATCGGAGATTAACACTAGAGTGGTATTGAGGTCTACCTGTCTGGTGAGCCACCTGGGGTACACCTCTGTGATAAGGCCTTAATTTGTGTTGGGAGTCTTATAAACTATGAAATCTTCTGTAAGTGTGTGTGAGATCTATATAAATTCTATGACTGTATAGGTATATTTGGAAATGTATTTTAACGCTTAAATCTAATTGAACAATCATGTATGCACAAGCTCAATGGATGTTGTCTTTTATTGATATTGTTTCCGCTTAAGGCCCCGTATGTAATTATATATTATTCTAAATTCTGTTTTGAGGCCTATGTACAGGCCGGTCATGGACCAAACTTTTAGGGGCGGGTTTGGGTCGTGACAGGTGGTATCAGAGCACGAGTTAAGATTTCACACACATGTCCATTGAGCATTAGTGTGTCTAGAATGCATTTAAATTGCATGTATCTAGTAACGAAGTGATGCGATGTGCATTTTGAAAGAAGTATGTGAGCTCGTACAATAAGTTAAGTATTGAGATTGAGAATGAGAATTCTCATGGATTTTGAGGTAATAAATGAAGATTCATATGTTTTGTTTCAAAGACTAAGATTTGTGACTAAGGAAAATTGGATAACTGTTATGAAGTGAGAATGGGTTACAGAAGGCTAAAGTTATGAAAGATGTGGAATATTGGTGTTCTTAGTTAAAATTGAAAAGTGTGAGCATGATGGTGGAAATGTAATGTGATTAGAGACTAAACTTAGCTTCTATATGGACTACATGTGGAATGGAATATTAATAAATACAAGTATTATGATCTGTGATCACATGGTATTCGGTGGAATTTTATGGAAGTTTAGTGATACAGGGAAATTGAAATTTTGACTAGAATGTTGGTTGTGTTGAGTGTGTTAATTTGTAGAGACAGAGTGTATGTTAAGGAAATTGAGATAGGTATGCGGGTGAAGGAAAATATTCTCAAAAATCTTGAACTGTGGAGTTAAATGATTTGGTATGATCTTATATATTAAGCTAATTTGTAGTTAGTGGCTTGAGGGAAAGGTAGTAGGGATGAGCTGATGCATACGTTGTCCTACCACGTGTAAGAATACGAATGGGCATTGTTAACGTAGTAAGATGGTATGTTTGATAATCAAATTATTTGAGTTACTGAAGTGGATCCTTGGTGAAAAGAAGCCATGTTGTGAACCTTTCTATGAGATGATAAGTGAAGTTTTGTTCCTCCTTTCCGTTCAAACATATATTCTTGTGAATGATATGAATAAAAGAAAATTTGTGTTTTTTTTTTGTGGACTGCCATTTGTCTGAAAGACGTAATGTTATTTTGATGCGTTTGTTCTAAGCCTAGCATATTGCTATCATAAACTCACCGTTACTAGTTAAGATGAAATCTTTGTATGAGAATTAATGCAAGGCTTGTTCCTTTATTGTGATCTGGAAATAAGTGCTCGTTGGAATGAAACTTATGTGATCTGTGTTATGTAGAGATGTCATACCATCAATTAAGTTCGGTATTTCCGACATAGATGAATAAAGTGTGACCTTGTGCGAGTTGACCATGGACCTAAGTGAGTAATGTCTTTGTAAAGATACTTCGGTATAAATGATTTTGAAAATGGTTATGCTATACGATGTGTAATGAAATCTATATGGTAAATGATAAAATATGCTATGAACCTTCGTAACGTTTATGATATGATGAGTTTTCCGAATAATTTCACCTAAAATGGCTAGAGATACTATGAAACTCCGATTGTTCAGGATATGACAAGTTTTCTGAAAAAGATATTTTGCTACGCATGGACGATAATTTGTTGTGGCATGCTTAAAGAATTCTCTGTGAATAATATGTTGAACCTGAAATCATTCTGTCTTATCTAATATAAGATTGTTCTATCAAAGTTTAAATAAGTTCAATGCTATTGGGAATTATACCATCATCTGATAATCTTTGAAAGGTCTGATAAGTTTTTGAGTCATGTCACTGAACAACGTATTGTGTGTAATTATGAAAGGTTTGAAGAACTTTATGTATTATATTTGTCCATGATAGGAACATTTTACTAAATATGGAACAAGAATATAATAGCTTTATGGTAAATGTATTATGTGCTTGATGTCATGATGTTGACTTTAGATCTTCCAAGCAAACATGATTTTAAATGATTATACCTTACTGTAATTTGGGAATTGTGACCATTAAGGTGTGATCCATATTTGATTTTACTAATAATTTACTCTAACATGTACTTCCTTGATATGGGATTTGAGTTGTTAGTTAGAGTCTGGTAGAAATCTGAGTTGAACGGATAAGTCTAATTCTGATAGTTTATGG